ACATGATGTGAACCACCCTGAGCTGATTCACAGTGACAAACAGCCCCTCCAAGCAGACACCCACCTCTTAGTTTTCTTTTCGGCTGTTTCTTATCACCTCCCTCCTTTCCTCCACACATTCTGCTCTGTTGGATCAAAACCAAGGCAGGAAAGGGCATGCAACAGCAGCTGAAAGGACACACGAGAATGCACAAAATATCCATTATACATAAATTTGCAGATGGAGAAAAGAAAGACTTTTTTTTTTATCTTTCTCTAAATAAAGCTTCAGGCATGTGTTACAATATGAACTGATATTACTTCTATTTAAACAGTCTGGCATTTATTTGTGCTCTTTCTTCAGTTCTAAAAAAGGCAAAATTGGTTGATCACAGTACAATTGTTGAAGAACAAGCATGTCGGGCTGCCGTATGGGTTAATCATTAAAACATCTACCCATCCATTTCTAACTGCACTTATTCCAATTCAGGGTCACTGGGGTGCGGGGGGGGAGTTGTCTTTCCCAGCTGTCATTGGGTTAGAAGCTGGGTACATGATGACGGACAGATTTCAGTCCATCACAGAGAGACAAATAAAACACTCAACCATGCAAGCTCACACCTACTGCAATGCCTTATTATAAGTTACCGAGTAATCCAACATGTGACCATGTTTTCGGATAGTGGGAAAAGTCTGGTAGAGAACCTCACGTACTTGGAGAAAACAGGCTAACATGAGAACACCCAATATGTGTTTAAAGAAAATGCAATCGATGCCATTTTCTGGGCCAAACTGCTGCAGAGAAAAATTGCCACTATGTCTGGGTTTTTTGTTTAGACCAACATGTGCTAACAGCCCACATCTTACACAGAGTCATTAAACAAGGGGCTGACAATCAGTTGACACTGATCGCAAGTATGTTTCCTTTTCTAACAGTTGGGCAGAGTGTGGCTTAGTATAGCCTTCCTTTCCCACAAGCATCTGGAGGCCCAGGCAGACAATGCGAGAGTGAATATATTCATCCTCATGCAGATCTGTTAAATCTCTGGACATAAATCTGTTGTACCCTTGTGCCCTCTTGGGTGACCTCAGAGGATCACAGGCCAGGTTGTAGAAACATTTGTAACATTTGGCTAAAGCCAATCTCATGCTGCCTGTTGAATTAAAGCTAAGCCCAAAAGGGACAAAAAAAATCCCCTTGGAACAATCCCTACAGTGGAGTACAACCCCCCCAAAAACCTTGTTCCTTATCCCTCACTCACTCACTCCCACACCAAGCATGGAGGCTCAACCCCTAACAACCTCCAGCAAATCCCCTTTATCTTTTCCCAGCCAGATGGAGCCACTGGAATAATAGCTGAAGCCCAATGAGTTCCATTCAATTTGTCATGCCTTCTAAAGAAGCTTGTAAGCTTCGCATTTGCAGTTATGTTATAGTAACCATGGGAGGCTCTGCAGTGTTAGGACTTAATTACCGCCTAATAGCTGTTGTGATAAAGCCTCCCAGCCAGTACCCAACGCTGTCCAGCTTCTGAACAAACAAACCTGAAGTAGCCAAGAATCGCATCATGTATGGCCGAAGCTTGAACGTGTTAATGACCTTTTGCCTTCACATCTATCTGTACAGATTATTCGCCAGACTGGTCAGACTTTTGCAGATGTTCTAGCTGTAATTTGTGCACAGGACAACTTGTCTAGCAGCTCCACATGTTTTTGACAAGCTAACATAAACTAATGATGTAGCTGTTTTTGATTCGTTTTAGTTTTGCTGGCTATTAATGACATTTATTAAAAAAAATAAACATTTAGCTTAAACTACTACAATTTTATTATTTTTGCTTCAATTATTTGGCTAAATTGATGCAATCCAGTGCTAGAGCTTTTTTGTTTTACAATCAAAGAATATTAGTAGTCGTCTTAAGTGACCCACATCAATCACAAAGTAAATTAATCTAAGCTATCACAAGAAGAATAAAAAATGGAGGCAGCCATGATAATTTAAAAAAGCAAATCGAAACTTGTAGTTCTAGAATTCTTCTGCATTTTCTCTAATAGGAAACATTGCAAAAAAATTAACTTGAATTTGCATATCATTTCTAAATAATTTAGACTCATCATGAAGTTACGTTTTAGTTGAACGAAGCCCAGTTTTAATTCTTTTGATCAGATAGAAGCTTCATAAAAATACATATGATTGTGATGGTTTGAATAAAGTTGGATTAAGCCTGAGATGTTTGCAGTATGTGTGTTGGTTGCAGATTGACAGGTGACAATGTAGACTCACATAGCAAAACAACGTCGTAGTGAACGTCGTGGTGGACGAAAAAAATATCAGACATTCTTCGAAGCAGAATTATAACTAAAAACTAAATTTGAAAGAAAATAATTTTTTTATTTCTTTCATTAATAGATTCACTCTGAAAGGAATAGAAAGGGGTTGCCAGGATGTTATTTGTTTCTTTCAGTTAATTTGGCTCAACTGGTCAGCTCAAGAAAGAGAAACCTTCCCTCAAGCACTCACCCACCACCACCCACACTGCACCCACACACACACCCACACACCCACACCAGCCCCTTTCTTTTTTCCCTCTGGTGGGAGATTAGCAGGATTAAGTATGGCCCACATATGCTCCCCCTCACTTTTGGTATTCACAACTATACTGGGCTCACACTATATATATATGTTGTTTTGTTTTGTTTTTTCGTTTTTTGGGTAGGAGGGGGTTAATATTAGTTCTATATGTATTAAATTATTATTATGATGGTATACAACAAGTTATATGAATTACCTACTAAATATCAAATGAGGCTTAATATTGCAACTCTAAATTTCAAATACATTTCTGAAAAGTGCCAGAGGTGGTTTTTAAAAATAATGATGAATGATGATCAATCCTAAATGTGAATAGCAGTTGTTTAAATGCGAGTCCAGAGTACACACACTATTTGAAGGCCATAAACATCCTGATTTAAAATGCCACTTCAACCGTGGTAGTTTCAACAGTCTTATGTGTATTATTCCAACCTAATGCAAAGGTGACTGGACAAGTAAAAGAAAAGAAAAAGATGAAGCAGCCAAACTGATGAATAGTTTGTGACTGTTTGCATCTAAAACTCAATTTTGATTTTGAGATGAGATAAAAACAAATAGTCTTTGTTGGGTGGCCGTTGTGAACAGACGTGCTTATAGTCAACTCTTCATACAAAATTCTGAATAATTTGGACAAGTAGGCCAAGGCTGGTGGGTATGGTGACAATACCTTTAAATTACGGAAACTGAGCCTAGAAAATAAAATAAGTCTTATCAATTACGTTCGTTTATTTTTTTTAGAAATTTCTTTCTTTATATATTTGCAATTTTAATGATTATTAGCTATTTCCTAATCACTTTCACTAGCCCCCCAACCCTCCCCGACGGAAAATGTAGCCTAAGGTAAAATCCACACACAGACTATAACATACATAAAAAGAGCTACTTTAATATGATAAACGGTTAACGAACCATATCGGTCTCTGTATATTATAGCCACATATAGTTATTGTGTATTCCTCTGTCTTACAAAAGCATAAAATCCTGTTGAGGCATTTACTGCTCGCGTGTGACTGCACACTACTTATAGGGACACAATGCAGTTGTCAGTTTCATTTATGTCTGGTAGCAAATAATATGTTTTGTTCTTTTGTCAGCAAGGGGCTGCCTGAGCACCAGCAACGGGCCACACTGCCCTGGCTGATGGTGAACTAATTGAAATATTACGAATTATAACCCTTGAAGACAAATTTACACGCTTAATTAATTAACGTTAAACACACACTTCAACGCTTCAGCTTCTGCCCAACAGCGGGGAGAAACGGGAATCAACACATGAACTGCAAGCTGCAGCAAGCTGCAGCAAGCTGCAAACATATGGCGACGTTCATTAAGCCTCGCAAAGATTTTTCAAAAGAGACAAAAGTTAGACATTTATCCAATACAGGATAATGGATACGGACAAAGAAAGTTGTCACACCAAATCAAAATATTTGTATGTAATAACAAGTGTATATCTATCTATCTATCTATCTATCTATCTATCTATCTATCTATCTAT